TTTTCAAAAATAAACAGTTTTTCCTGTTCATACCCAAAGGCCTAAATCAGAAAAAATAATTATTTTAATTTAAATTTCGCATTATCCTTGGCAATATCTTAGTTCCAAGTCGTCCGCAATTGGCAGCGCCAACCAAGGATTGAGCGCGCGCGACAAGGATAGTCATTCGGTTCTGTAGAGGTCAACAGTAAACATTATTTTTCGAGATATAGACCAAAGTCCGATATTTTCAAATGTAACACCCTATATATTAATAGCTCATTGGATAGCTCTGTTTTTGCTGATTTCAATGATATAAAGTTCGATAGGTTTATCACTAACAGTTTTCGAGAAAAAAAATTATATCTGTTTTTGTGGTAAGCATCAATGGGTTAGAAAAGAATTTTATATGTGTAAGGAAAATGAGGAAGGTCTCTTTCTAACACATTGTTCCTTATGACTGAAACAGATATAATTTTTTTTCTCGAAAACTGTTAGAGATAAACCTATCGAACTTTATATCATTGAAATCAGCAAAAACAGAGCTATCCAATGAGCTATTAATATATAGGGTGTTACATTTGAAAATATCGGACTTTGGTCTATATCTCGAAATCGGAGCGATATAGAAAAAAATTCAGTCCGCCACTGGATTGTGCTCAAAAAAGTGTCTCTATAATGTTTTTACAGAAATAAAAAAAATTGATAAATAAAAAACTTATAGCTATTTTTCATAATTGGGGAAAATCGGAAATCGCCCTGTATCAATGGTACCATTGAAGATATCGCGATACGGTTTTTGACAATCGACGTTTCTCGAAAATCGATCCCATGACGTTTTAGTCAATTTTCCTCCATCTGGTCTGGAAGTATGTTTTTCCTGTTGAACCAATCCAAATTGCAGCACCCTGTACATTGATGGTGGCGATTGTGCACGCTTTTTTGTTTGTATCAATTTAACTTTCAAAAAAGTAGCTTAAATAGTAGCTTCCACTAATTCAAAATGTAGTTAAGTTACTAATAGCTTAGCTACTTTTTCAAAGAGGTAGTTGAGCTACTGAGTAACTTAGCTACTTACAATATAAAGTAGCTTGTAGCTTGTAGCTAGCTACTTTTTCCAAGTAGCGTGCCCAGCTCTGTGCCAAAGTAATATAAAACTCATCAAGGTGGTTTGTCACAGCTCCTGGTGTAGTAATCTTTTTCGAGTCAACTTCCAGTTTGATCGCCGATATTCTGCGATCTGATGATTGGCTGTATGATTATGGATCATGTTTTCCTCTTCGAATTCTTTGCCCTACCGATCTCTTCATGATAGTGATTTTTTTGCGCCAAATCAATTACTTTCTCGAGAATATCTTTATACGGGTGTCCCACGGTGGATGGCGTATTAGACGTTTATGGAGAACTCAAAAGCCGATCATTTTGAAAATTTGGCAACCGGGATAAATTACCATAATCTACACTTTAAAAATATTTTTGTTTATGCGGTGTTGTCGCTTCTACTCTATTAGTGGCAACATCGGTATTTTAAATGGAACACCCTGTATGTGATCAGTGGCGACGCGTGACCAGTAGTCTGGGAGGGGTAAATGGTACGAGGAGCCCTCCAAATTTTTCGCAAATTTCAAGGTCATTCACTTTTCCAGAACAATTATTTCATTTGTAAGAGAAATAAAACAAAACAGAAATGTATTTTCTTCAATATATTAAGTATTTTCTTTTTGGCATCGTGATTTTTCTCTTGATAATTCGATCCTGGGGGGGGGGTAATTACCCCCAGTACCCTCCCCGACGCAACGCCCCTATATGTGATTGCATATTTGGATTCTACGTAAAATTCTGAACAGATTTCTTGTGATATACCCTATACCTATAAGTTCAACTGTTTTGGAAATATTGACAGTTGAAAATTGACTTTCTGCAACTTTAACAGGCTATAAAACCTAAACGGTTAATTTTAGAGGAAAACCGATTTTACATTCCTATCTTAGATTTTTATAAACTATCATTTGACATCAACTTTGAATTTAATCCATGATCAAAAATTTCAATTAAATTTCACCTCCGGTTAAATTCAAAGTTCGTGTCAAATGATAGTTTATGAAAATCTAAGATAGGAACAGGGCCGCAACTAGGGGGTGGCGAACTAGGCACCCGCCTAGGGCGCAGCAGCATCGGGGCGCCGAAGGCGCCTAATTTAATCCATCCATATTTTACAATCCAAAAATGCAACGGTTTTACGCGTCATTTGTCGTAGGACGGAAATTTATTTTGCTTTTGGTATATCTCTCTTTGCTACGAATATCGATAGTAATCATATAAATTAAGTTAAACACAGTGCGCGTGCAAAAGGCAGCAGCAAATTGCAATGTCTGTGATAAATTCAAGTATCGATGACGTAACGCCCAACATTCGTTAGCCAGAGATTAGCTTCGAGTCAAGCTTTGATCCGACCAAACTGAGCAAGAGCATTGTGGGCGACGTGGGCGCCCTCTGCATGCTGCATGCATTATCTCTTTCGACTCTTTTCTATTTAGCCGTTTACGGAAACTTTTTCTATCTTTCCTTAATGAATAAGATTGAAAAAAGACAAAATACGTCTGCTGGCGATCGGGTTAACCCGATCTTAGTTTCCGTAAACAGCTTTCACTTCTACAATAGCTTCGTTCGCAGTAAGGATTCTGAACTGGTTCGAAACTATTTCGCATGCGCAGTTCAAGTAATGGCGTTCGTGGATCACAAAATTCCGAACTTTTAGTTACGGTTCTGGATTCGCGGATCAACCCGAATCGGTTCGAAACCGTTTCTGAACCAGTTCTAGCGGTCCTGGGATTTTAGCAAGAACTTCAGGATTGACACTAACATTCGTTTACGTATTAGGCCGAAAAATCGGACATCTTTCGTCGAAAATCGTATGCATGAGACTCCGGCTTTAAGGTACAGTTTGTTAGGGCATTCGCGACGCACAACTCACATTCTGTTGAACGCCGCGCACGTCTGCTATAATCAAGCGAATGTAATGATATAGACAGGTTTGTTGGTTTTGCGCAGGTGACCGCGACGTACACGTCAGAAAACTGGTGTACGTCGTGCTGAACAAATGCCATTGGCTGAACAGATTCTGCCGACGTTGTCAGTTTTGCGATCTCTGGTTTTGCGTCGCGCACTGTCCTAACAAATCGTACCTAACAAAGACAGTCTGGAGAACTCGTTCCAAAACTGTTCGCGATAAAATAATGGCGTTTTCCATTTGTTGTACGGAGGTGTACTCAGTGCAGTTTTTACATTCCATTTGACTGCACATTATCACTTTTTATTTTCCATTTGAAATCCAGTGCAATTATGATGTATGCACTCAGTGCGCATTTTTTGGCATGAGCTAGAAAGACTCGTGGAGAGCCAGTGCTGCACTGGCAGTGCAGTTTGTTTTGTTTTTGTTCACATGTACCGTACATACAAATTTGAAAAATTTCTGCCAATATTTCCGCCGTGGAGGGGCGCCAAAATTTGGAATTGCCTTGGGCGCCGAGGGTTCTAGTTGCGGCGCTGGATAGGAATGTAAAATCGGGTTTCCTATAAAATTAACCGTTTCGGTTTTACAGCCTGTCAAAGTTGCAAAAAGTCAATTTTCAACTGTCAATATTTCCAAAACAGTTGAACTTAGGTATAGGGTATATCACAAAAAATCTGTTCAGAATTTTACGTAGAATCCAAATATGCAATCGCATACAGGGTGTTCTATTTGAAATAGCGATGTTGCCACTGGTTTATAGTAGAAGCGGCAACACCGCATAAACAAAAATATTTTTAAAGTGTAGATTATGGTCGTTTATCCCGGTTGCCAAATTTACAAAATGATCGGCTTTTTAGTTCTCCATAAACGTCTAATACGCCATCCACCGTGGGACACCCTGTTTATCAGTGTCAGTATACTAATATAATGTAGTGCTCTATTGTTTTTGCAAGATATTTTAATTCCTCGAGTAATGTACGGCTTAGACTTGCAAAGAAATTTTCTTATAAGGAAAACAAGAATTCGTAGCTTCAAGAATATGCCGCTGGAAACAAAAGAATTTTTCGGAAGATATCATGCTTTTCACAGTAAAGGGCCAGTCAGTATTTTCAACAGATTCTGGAATTTGTTCATGTTTTTGTTTGGAATACCTATTTCTTAAAATTATAAAATTACTGTATTTTAAATTTTGTTTCCTAACAATAATTCATCCCACGATAGTCTCATATCCACTTAAATTTATATGTTTTGTCTCAATCATAATTATTGTATTAAGTCTTATTTGTATAAAAATAATCAATCGGGAAGTTTCTGGCTGCAGTTCATGTAAACTCCTGGGGTGCGATTTTCGAAACCATTCGAGTACATTTCGTACACGAAATTTGACTGACAGCAATGTAAATTAATTGGGGAGGAGTCGAATTTCGTGTACGAAATGTACTCGAATGGTGTCGAAAATCGCATCCCTGTTCGGTTTTCGGTTGTATAAATCACACAATGGAAACGAATTCCCGAATATTCACATTCACACTGTCACCATTGCGGTACCGTAGAACTAGTACAACTACATATACACTGTGATTTACGTAGTCTGTGCATTAGAAGTTTTCCAGATTGCAGGTGGATTAGTAGAGATAGCATCTAATCTACCTGTAATCTAATGCACTGGCTACGTAAATCACCCTGTTCGCTTTGTCGATTGAATTTCACAATTTAAAGTCGAGAAATATTCAACATGGCCTTCTTGGCCTGCATAAATAAACCATCACATTCTAAATCATGGACAATTCGCTATCTCGATTTTCTTGGAGAAACTCTAGCTTCACCTTCACTTGGCTCCAGCAGAAGGTTGCCTTTAATGGATAAAATGGTCACAAAGCTGAATATCCAAGTATTCCAGATGTTTGAAGCGCCTACTCACTTGAGTGACGCAAAGTTTGCTTTATTGATTGGTTCCCAAATGAAACACCTTTCAGTTACCAAATTTTATATTTCTCAATAAGTAGAAACACACGCTGATGATTAGGTTTTTTCTTTCTCAAATTCTAGGACACATATACTGATATAAAAAAGTTAAACAAGATCATTATACAATTTATACAAACTTAAAACTTTAGACTGTTTATTAAACGACCAATTAGATTTAAACAATTCACCACTTTTAAATTTATTTACTGTGTAATACCTATTTAAATTAACATAAAATTAGACCAGCTTTTACCTTTTTTATATTTGTCAATTTCACTTTTATGTCTACATTTTATTTTTCTAAAATCTTTCTGATGAAGCTAAAGTTTAGCGAAACATGTTAAAAGTTTAACAAAAAATTGTGGAAATATATAAGTATTAAAATTTACTTAAAAAATCTTTTATTACATTATACAATTATAAGTTTACAAATTCATCCTCGTTTCTAACAGCCACTGATTTATAATACTATTGATGAGTACCTATATTTTATTTTGTACATTTTTACAACTATCCACGTTGTTACAAGTAGTATACCATGTTTGCGCGATCTCACATCATTATGGCTTCCAAGTGAGTATCATTCAAGTTTTTATATTGGTATAATTATTATGGTGAAAATATTTATTAACGTTATAAGGCCGATAAGTGGCAATAACGGCCAGCATGAAGTTTGTGTTCATAATCAGCTAAGGCTGTTATTTGCAGTTATCGGCTGTGTTTCGTTCTAAATGTTTATTATACTGCAGATATCTTTCAATGTGACAAAAAAAAATACTCTCCTATAGGGATATGTTTGAAAAAAACATTTATATTTTACAAGCCGGCGGATAAATAACGGCCAGCGGTCGTTAAATATACTTTTTCGATTTCAATTTCGCTCATGTTATAGTAAAATTTACAAACAAGAAAAGAAAAAAGGGAAGGAAATCTTCAAGTGTCATCTGTCCATAGAATCTAAACCTCAGATGTGGTTATTCCATTTTACCACAGAGTCGTTGATAGTAAATTCACTTTCTTGTCCAAAGCCGTTTATCTGAAATAAGCAGAGATTTTTATTTTTCATATAAACTGATAAATTTGAAGCATTCGAATAGATGTTTGCATATATCGGCAACCCGATACTCTAGGAACCTAATTGTTTACGTCTAGAACGTGTGAATTTTGGGAATTTTATTGTATTTGAGAACACAAGGAGATAAATCCGTAGTTCAATATTGTGATAGCTCATAATAGTCATTTGGAAGTCAGTTTAAATACAAGAGTTCTTGTATACGTTTCGATGAGTCTTAAGTGCATTTTTACAATTGCGATTTGTTTAATAGAAGTTGCTATTGACTGTAAAGTCGTAAAGTGTTAAAATTATTCCATCTTAAACTTAAGTTTACCCTCGAGAATAAATTTTCTGAAAATTGTCGGCCATGACTCATTTATGAGTTTATGTTTATCAAAAAAAGTCCAGAGCAATTTTGGCAGATAAACCAGGCCATCTCCTAGTATACAGAGACTTTATTTTCATTACAAGACACACATGTAGCACAAGAAAGGTTGTTGATATAAATGAGTCGAGAAATGAGTCAAAATCTAAATTCTTTAGAATATGGCATAGGATGTATCTTCCTACCTCAAAGGGACTTGCCTACATAGCACACTATACTATTAGCAATATCATCATCGATTCAATACAGCCCCAATACCGGATAAAACGTAGACGTCGGAGCTTCACTATATTCCATCGCATCAGTATTGCTTTGAGTTGGACAGGCCACTTGAATTGATGGGGCTGGTTGTGGTGCAGCCAAAACTGTACCAGGTGGATTACGGTAGGGTTTTCCTGTTGGGGGAATTTCTTGTTTGGTTCGACAGTTGACGCTCGTGTTAATACCGTGACGACGTTTCATGTGCTTGTTATAGTTTGGCCAGTTGGTGAAGTGGTGCTGGCATTCTGTGCAAGAGTACGGTCGTTCACCTAAAATACAAGTCTGTAATGAATGGCGAGAAAAAGTGTTTACTGGAAAAAAGTAATGTTGAACTGTATGCGAAGAAAACACGTTTTATAAAAATAAATATATCTACATAACTACGGTCGAAGGTGGCTGAAAGTAAGACTTTATAGGGAGTATAGTATTTTTAATACCCATTTGGAATAACCCCTTCCTTATTTATCAATCACGAATCAGATGATCTTCTCACCCCAAATTTGTTTCCTTTGCTTCCCATTCCTATAATCTTCACATTATTATTTCGGTTCAATGTGAACTGTACAACTCGTATCTTGCCTTTATAGCTTTGAAAGTCAAATTGTGAAATGTATGGATGAGATATTCCTATTGACCAATAATCATTTAAAATAATTAATATACCTGTGTGTTGTCTTCTGTGCGTGGTTAGTACGCCCTTGAACCGAAAACATTTTCCACAAAACTCGCAGGAAAACGGCATGTCCCCTGTATGAATTCTGTGATGTTCCTTCAGCGTTCCTCTTTCTCTAAACTGTCTTCCACAAATATCACATTGGAAAGGTTTGAGGCCCAAATGTATGGAGCTGTGTTTCCTGAGCTGAATCTAAAAATGACCAACTAAAGAATTTTGCACCAATCAAACCAGAGCACTCGTTAATTATGGTCACGCCTATTTTGCTTCAATCTGACAAGTCGAGATTATTATTTCAAATTTTTTGTTTGTAGATGGGCACATTTTTATTTACCTGCTACAATATACAGGGTGCGAGATTATATCTGGATGCATGACTTCTAAAATAGTGAAATAAGTTCAAGGGTGTAATCGTGTAATCTTGAATCCAAGGCTGCGGTGAGGTAAGCATACAGGCTGTCCCAGTGTGGATGGCGTATTAGATGTTTATGGAGAACTAAATAGGGGATAATTTTGAAAATTTGGCAATCAGGATAAAGGACCATGATCTACACTTTAAAAAATATTTTTGACCATTCGGTGTTGCCGTTTCTACTTTAAACCAATGGCAACATCGCTGTTTTAACTAGAACGCCCTGTATATTTTTAAATTTTTGAATTCGGCATATAATTATGAGCAACTTTTCCTAATAATCCCGTATACCTATCTGTCGGCGTTTTTCGAGAATAAATTATGTTCAATTTTTTCTAACGAAAGCATAACTTCCAATAAATCTTAATGTCTTCCTCCTATTAAACAATTTTGAACTGAAATTTTATCCCTGAACAATGTCTGTGGGCATTTGATCTTTCGCTCCAGAATGGTCCAGAAATTATTATTTTTTCGGTAATTTACAAATATGCTAGAAAAATGATTTTTCAAAATGGAACACGCCGTATAATAATACGGATTTGAAAAGCTGATAAAACTAGCTTTCAGACTGTATACTTTGCCTATACCTAATTCTTCATGTTTTCGATTTATTAACGTTTATTCATGAAATTTCATAATCGACAAACTTTCAACGGTTTTAATAGTGTCAAGCCAAAGAATAACACCCTTTACAATAATAAATATTCAGACTAATTCGAAAGTTCATTGACATGTCGCATTGTTCTAATTTAGTTTCCTGTACAGGGTGTCCGAATTTGGACGGTTTTAATAGGAAACGTCAATTTCTGAGCGAGATACAAAAAAATGAACCCCCCACTCCGAGGCTCAAATTTCTTGAAATTTTGATTGGTGCAAACCGCATTTTAATATTTTCAACCGTTTAGTCGCTAGAGGGCGATTTTCGATTTTGAGCAATACTCTTCATAATAATAATAAATCTTCATAACTTTTTTGTTTATGAAACTAACTGATTTCCGTAAAAACTTCCTAGAAGCACTTTTTCAAGCAGAATTCTGTGACGTTTTCAGTTTCTTTCTATTGGGCCTCCATTTCAAGATATTGACCAAAATACGATTTTTTTCAATGGAACAGCCTATATATTAATAGCGCATTAGAAAGCTCTGCTTTTGCTGATTTCAATGATACAAATTTCGATAGGTTTATCTCTAAAAGTTTTCGAGAAAAAAAATATTTCGGCTTTTGTCATAAGAAACAATGAGTTAGAAAGAGACCTTTCTCAGTTTCCTTACAGATATAAAGTCCTTTTCTTACACATTGCTTCTTATGACAAAAACCGAAATAATTTTTTTTCTCGAAAACTATTAGAGATAAACCTATCGAACTTTTATCATTGAATTCAGAAAAAGCCGAGCTTTCTAATGAGCTATTAATATATAGAGTGTCCTATTGAAAAAAACCAGACTTTGGTCAATATCTCGGAGTTGGGACCAACTAGAAAAAAACTGAGAACGTCATTGCATTGAATTCTGCTTGAAAAAATCAAAATTTCAAGAAATTTGAGCCTCGGAGTGGGGGGTTCATTTTTTTGTATCTTGCTCAGAAATTGATGTTTCCTATTAAAACCATCCAAATTCGGACACCCTGTACAACAGGATAAATGATAATTACCAATATTGAGCAATACTGGCATTGTAATAATGAATAAGTAGACGCATCAGCAAAAAAAATTGGTGCAACGACCCAGGTTTCAGGAATCAATAGTTTCTTGCTGACAATACGAAATCGACTTTCTTATATACAGGGTGTTCTATTAAAAAATCATGTTTCTGGCATTTTTTTAAGTAAACTTGAACTAAGATGTAAGCGAAAGATGAAATGCCTACAGGCATTGTTCCGGGATAATCCAAATTTCAGCTTAAAATTAATTGTTTTATAGGAGGGAGATATTAAGATTTATTGGAAGTCCTGTTTTCATTTTAAAAAAAAATGAAATTAATTTATTCCCGAAAAACGGTGACAGATAGGTATAAATAGAAAAAGTTGCTCATAGATAGATTTTTTTTAAAATTTATTTAACGGAAAAATAAAGTCCGTCGATTTTAATCTGATACTCGAAAGGAATGTGAGCTGGTGGCACCCTACATTAAAACGCCAATGGTCACCTGACGTCACACCTATTTTTTCCATATACTTCACCCCCTCGCTCTTCATACAGAAAGTGTCAGATAAAAATCGACGAACAATACATGGTAAGCATTTATAATATTAATTCTAGTACTAACACAAATACAATTAATACAATAAGTAGTAGGTACTGCTAAACCGTGATCAAGATAGGTGCACCACAACTACAAATAGATCAACATCAATACTGTTGCAACCCTCCATGATTCTATTCACCGTAGTGTTCCGACCGTAACACGTCCGATGCTGCTGCGTTTGAAAAGTTTTATGATTTCTTAATGATCGTGGGAGAACGTAAAAGTCAAGTTGACGAAGACGTTCCGAGAAGTCTATAGAACCATGCAGAATTTTGTATGCGAATAATACATCTGTAGATTCGACCTCCTAGTCTCCAATGACTCCAATGACTGAATGTTGAGAAATACCACCAATTCACTGAAGTCTACGTGGTCCCAAAGGATTTTTAATTTGAAGGCAATATAACGCAAAAATCGACTCTAAACTTGAAATATATTTTTGAAAAATGGGGACCAAATGACACTACAATATTCTTAGTGGGACCTAATTAGGCTAAAATACAATATTTTCAAGGCATTTAAATTAGTAAAGTCCTGTGTATTTCTAAAAATGAAGCCTAGCATTCGCAATGCATTGCTCCTACAAAAATTCAAATGATCAGCAAAACTGAATCTAAAATCAAAAACAATAGGCCCCTTGCATTAATTTTTTTTATTGCGGATTTCGTTTGTCAATGAAAAATAAGTCAACACGTGTTTTTTCTTTTTCTTGTTAGACAAAAATTGACGAAGATACAACGCTTTAAAATGTTATTTTTTTTCATATCCTATGACGTCACACGTCACACCATGCTCAGTATATCTATATATACAAAACTTAATCTTTGTATAACTTTCGGAATAATGATATTTGGACAAAATAGAAAAATACGTATAGATTTTTTTTCGATTTCCTACAGTTTGCAATAAACAGTTATCAATTCAATTTTTCATGCAAGGTCCCTATTTCCAGATCCTTCACTGTCTCAACCTTCTCCAGCTGAGTCAAGCTCAAATAATAGTCATTCGATTCCACAATAACAGCCTTAGTGAAATGAATATATCCACCCTTACCTCGACCCTTACTATATTAAGAAATAATCTATTTTTGTCACACCATGCATAAAAAGTGTCCAAGTCTTTTTGGATTTTAACTCTATCCTTATTTGATTCAATCCTTGAAAAATTTTTCAGATCATCTGTGAACATTTAAAATTGACAGGAAACAAAGCAAGATGAAATATCATTAATAAAAATGTTGAACAGAGGTAACTTTGATTGGAAGTGAACAATAGTTATTAATTTTAACTATTTGTGTACGTTGACTCAAGGAAGATTCAATTCATTTAAGTAAGGTGCCATAAACACCAACACGATGAAGTTTCTAAGTGAAACATGATTAACTTCTCTGTCTGTATAGATTGAATCCACATTACATCTATTCTCCAAGGCATTGACAATGTAATCAGGGTAAATCATAAGAGTATTGGTTGACCGACCAGTAAGAAATGCCTGTTGATTTGGGATTATAACTGGTTCTAAATTATCTTTTAAATACAGAGTAATGATTGATTCAAACAACTTTGGTATCGGTGATAGCCTCATTATTGGTTGATAGTTTCCAACCTCATCCTTCGAACCTGAGCTCTTAAAAATAGGCGTTACATAAAACAACTTCCATGCAGTGGCGGCTCGTTTATTAAAAATGTGGGGGTTGCAATTTCAATTGTACAATCATGCATGTTTTTCGTGAAGGTCCAGAATAAATGTCATGGTGAAAGTCCTTTTTTTGCTAGTTACAGTTTGTTCAATTTTTAAATTTGGAGTAGGCCTTCAAAGTCTTTTTATTTCAGCCTTATCGGTTGATGAACGCCCACAGAGTGGCTCGGCAATTAAATTTTGAACAGAATTCTTTTTTTTTTCACCCCCACACGACAAAACTTCACAAAACAAACCTAATCTGCGCTGCGAGCAAAAAAAAAAAACAAAGTTTGCACTTAGCTTGCAACCTGCTGGAGCTTATGAAGCGGATTTTGAATCCACGCAAAGACAGGCAACCAAATGTGCGCCGTCATATAATAGATCGGTTTTTGCTTTGGAGCTGCAATTCAGCGACTCGACGCCGCTACTCGAAGTCGCTGGCGGCCTGTCAGTTATTGATATTTTGGCGAAGTTGGTGAAATTATTTTATTAATTGACTGCGTATTATGTAGGTCCCAAATTTTGGTATAATTTATTTTTTAAATATAATTAGGTACTAAAATTTAGTTCTACTATTTTTGTTTTATATTTTTTAAGTTTTGTTTTGGGGGTTGCGCAAACCTGCAAACCTAAGGAAGAGCCGCCACTGCTTCCATGCATGAGAAAACACACCCGCCGCCAAAGAGGAACCGAACAACTGCCAGAGAGGTCTAGACTAAGGAAAAGCACAATTCCACAAAAATATTGGGGATATTCCATCAGGTACAGGAACTTTATAGGGATCTAATAATTGCAACCCACTGAGAAAATCTGCGATCTAAATTTTATATGAGGTAAGGTTAATATTTGAGATTCCT